CTGGGGAAATTTGAGTTGAGTGGCATCGCTCCTGCCCCTCGTGGTGTACCACAGATTGAGGTCACCTTTGATGTCGATGCCAATGGCATCTTGAATGTCTCTGCCATTGATAAGAGCACTGGCAAATCGAACAAGATCACTATCAGCAATGACAAGGGCAGATTGAGTAAGGAGGAGATTGAGAGGATGGTGCAGGAAGCAGAAAGTTACAAAGCCCAAGATGATATGCAACACAAAAAAATCTTGGCCAAAAATTCCCTAGAGTCATATGCATTCAACATGAAGAATTCAGCAGAGGAAGAGAAAATAAGTGGCAAGATTAGCGAGGAAGACAAGAAGAAGGTAATTGAAACCTGTAACCAAGCAATATCCTGGCTGGAGACACACCAGGATGCAGAGAAGCATGAGTATGAAGATCAACTGAACAAGTTGGAGAACATCTGCAACCCTATTATTGCCAAGTTATATCAGGGAGGTGTGCCTGTTGGCTTCGGTGACCAGGCTGGAAAAGGAAATGCCTTCAGTGGCCCAACAATTGAGGAAGTCGATTGAATTCCTTCCCAAACTTACATCTTTCCCTGTCCCGCCATCTCTATTCCAACCATCATCTCATTACCCCACTTTGGCATCCCTAGTTTAACTAACTTTGTAAAGCATTGACATGATCAAAGTACTTAGTTGCCATTTGTAGAGATGACATATTTCTGTATTAAGATACTGGCTTTGATGGTTCACAGTTGGCTTTATGATAATGAGTTTTCTTTAAGTGAACTTTGTGTTTTTTTTAATGTGATTATTCTGGATTGCTCAGTTACTTTCCTGGTTACATTTGATTGTCCACTTATGTACATTGAGTACATTTATGTAAAAGGCTAATAAAGTCTTGTGCTAAAATCATTTGGTCAGGTGTTTAGTTTTGAATACCTTTCTTCTTTCAAGCACCGTGCTCTGAAAGGGCTGACAGGTACTTCAGCCCTGACAAGGTACTGCTGCCATTTCTATCTGTAGATGGCTGAGCAGGGTTCGCTTTTGTTCACAGCACCTGCATGCACTGTGTGTTAGAATGACATTAAATGTTGATGTTCAACCTGCTTGTCTGCAATAGAGAATGCACCATAGGGTCTTGAACTTGGATATTCTGGCTCAGAGACATTCCCCTCTACACCACAAGACCTCCAATTTTAATACTGACTGCTACGGAATCTGCATTTCTGTTGAGTGGCAGTGCTCAGAATCATACACAACACTCAAGATGGGTTCAGATGACATCTTTGTGCACTGGAAGCATAAATTCCTATTCTCGCTATTGCTGCCCACTTGAGTCACAAGCCGGCATTCTGTTAACCTGTTGGGCTAAAGTGTGCCTGCCTCTTTGCTTTCTGTACTTGGACATCCAAATCTCTCATCGCCTCCTTTCTTCCTATTTCTCACCACATTGAAAATACTCTGATTTCTCACCGTTGGATCCAAAGTCAATTATCCCACACTTTACAAGCGAAATGGCAGTCTCCACTGCTTTGCCCACTTGTATGATTTCAGGTTCCCATCCATAAATAATGTGCCGCCTGCCATTTATTCCAAGCTTTCCTCTGGTAAAGGTATGTGGATGCTTGAAACACTCAGCCCGAGCAGAAAGTGTGGAAAGAGAAACAAGTTGAGTGTCAGTTGATGACCTGCCACCACAAGATGGCATGCAGGTGCAGCAAGAAATGAGGAAGGCAAATGGCATGTTGGCCTTTATTACTCAAGTATTCAATACAGGAGTAAAAATGTCTTGCCGCTGTCGTATAGAGCCTTAGTAACACTGCATGGAGAATATTTTGTGCAGTTTTGATGTCCTTAGCTAAAGGGAAGATATGTTGCCATAGACGGAGGGTAGTGGAAGTTCACTAGATTGATTCCTGGGATTGTGGTATTGTCTATGAAGAGAGATCGAGAAGACGGGGCTTATATTCTCGAGAGGTTAGAAGGATGAAAAGTGATCTCATTGAATGTTCTTACAGGGGAGATGGGGGCATTATATCAATATCACTGGACTAGAGGCCAAGGATAACAACCTGAAATTCAGATTGAAATCCCAACACTGCAGCTGCTGAAAATTAAACTCAGTTTCCATCTAAAGGGAGTCTCAGTGATGGTGACCATGAAAATTACCACTGACTGTTGTAAAAATGTCTAATGTCCTTCAGGGAAGGAAATCTGCTGTCCTCACCAGGTCTGGCCTATACATGACTACAGACCCAGGGCAATATGGTTCCCTCTTAATTGCCTTCTGAAATTATTAGCAAGCCACTCAGTTCAGGGACTGTTAGGGATGGGCAACAAATGCTGGATCTGCTGATGACATCCTCATCCCATTGAAAGAAGTCTGAAAAATAAAAGATGCTGGGTGATTGGCTCGCCTGATTGCAGGCTCTACGGGTTGGGTCAAAGTCTCAGATTAATGGTTGGACCTTTAAGGACTGAGGTGAGTGGGAATTTCTTCACTTATAGGGTGGTGAATCTTTAGAATTCTTTACCCCAGTTCTGATCTCCCTGCTACAGGAAAAATGTTGCTATTACTTGAAAGGGTTCAGAAAAGATTTACAAGAATATTGCCAGGGTTGGAGGGTTTGAGCAAGAGGGAAAGGCTGAATTGGCTGCAGCTATTTTACCTGGAGTGTTGTAGGCTGAGTGGCGACGTAATAGAAGTTTGTAAAATCATGAGGGGCATGAATAGCGTGAATAGTCGCCAAGGTCTTCTCCCCAGGGTCAGGGAGTCCAAAACTAGAGGGCACAGGTTTAAGGTGAGAGGGGAAAAGATTCAAAAGGGACCCCAGTGTCAACTTTTTCATGCAGAGGTCGATGCATGAAGGCTGGCACAATTACAGCATTTAAAAGGCATCTGGATGGGAATGTTAATAGGAAGGTTTAAGAGGGATATGGCCAAATGCTGGCAAATGGAACCAGATCAATTTAGGATACCTTATTGGCATGGATGAGACGGACCAAAAGGTGTGTTTGTGTGCTGTACAACTCTATAACTCTAGGACTATAATTTCAAATTAACAAGGTAGTTTATAGGAAACAATTGGTTTCTATCTGTTTAGTCTTTATTCATTTTTGTGCGATTAATGGTGAGCAGTTATTATCATTTCAGGCATAACGAGCTTCAACAGCTTCCCTTTGTTCAGGACTGGTTGGGGAGAGCTGTCATTTGTCTCTGTAGACTGCAAGGTCCACACAATGCAATTTTGTGACATGCCGGGATGGTGATGGTTTTGTTCTGTCCTGTTAACTACTGATTGGAATCTATTTAAAAATTGTGGTCAATTTTCATCACGTGATCAGTAGTGGCCATGCTTTAGTTCAGCAAAGTCCATTTAATAATTTAAGCAAGTACAGCTTTTAAATCAATTAATGACCTGTTGATGTTTTGAGGACATGGCAATATCCATGATAGAGACTGATAGATTTCCATAGAATAAAGACATCAAGAGATATGGGGGTAGAATGTAAAAATAAAATACCATGGATGTAGAAAAAAAACACTGAATTTATTGAGTGGTAAAGCAGGCTTGAGGGGCTGAATGGCCTGCCAAGTATCTCGAGTATTTTCTGTCCTGAATCACACAGGAATGAGGTTGGTTAAATTATACAATTTTCAGAATTTTTCTCTGTTTTTCACAATACAGTAACAAAATCAGAAATATACAGAAGACCAAAGCTTTAAAAAATGTCTGTGGAGAGCATAAGATTTAAACACCCTGAACATTTATCACTTTTGTTCCTCATTTGAAGGCAAGCTCGTCACAATTAAATACTTTAAGTTACTTTAACTAAGGTATTCTAACCCACTACACTTGCTCAACTATTAGATCAAAGTGAACCAAGGAGAAATTTATACAAGTCATCACTGTATTGGTAATGAATATCTGAGCTTTGAATAATACTGCTTCAGGGTTCTTGTTTTGCAGTGGGCCAGAAGGTCCAAGTGCAAGTCTCATCTGCCCCATTGGTTTGTCACAACATGCCTGAACAGGTTGATTAAAAAAAAACCTTTTAGGCATTTATAGTTGTGGCTGAGCAGCTAAGGTTATAGATTTGAAACCTTAAAGTGCTTGTGTAAATTAGTGGCCACATGATTAAAACTCCACTCTCTATCAAGTCATGTCATCAAATCTCCCACTGCCAAATTTGCAGGTGATTAGCCCTGTTAAGTACTTTGAGGGAAAGTTGTGTAATTCGTATTTGTTGGTGTGTATCATTCCACCAAGTGCTGATACATTTAATTTCCATGATAGCTTAGTGATTAGGATTTGTACTCCTACTCCTGTACCCTACATTCAATTTCCAGGCAAGGAGCAACAATTTTTAAAGGGTCTTCTGGTGCAGTGGCAGTGTGCCCATCTGTCCTGGAAGTGTGTCACAGTTCCAGCCTATTTACTTGAATTTTGACAGAAGCTTAATTTAGCTGGCAATGATCCCTCACCATGGTCTTTCTATGGACTGAAAAATATTTATTCCCCTTCTTTCTCCTGACTTCACCTGACAAAGGAGCAGTGCTCAGAGAGCTTGTGATTTCAAATAAACATGTTGGACTATAACCTAGTGTTTTGTGACTTCTTACTTTGTCCACCCAGTCTAACACTGACATCTCCACACCAGATTCTCCCTTAATGGCTGGGGGAATCTCTGGCAAAACTTTCATTTGACACCCAACCTAAATTGTCCTTAACTGAGCAGCCTGCTAGGCTATTTGAGAGCATTGTTAATAACCACATTGCTAAAGGCTCATGTGGTGCAGATGTAGAGTTCCTACTCCTGGATCGACAGGCCCATGTTCAAGCCCCACCTGCTCCAAAGGAGTGTAATAACATCTCTGAGCAGGTTGATTTTTAAAATAATTTATAATCATGTTGTTGCTGTAGGTAGGGTCACACAGACATGACCAAGTAAGCATGTTAGACTTCCTTGCGTAAACAATCAATGGCCAGCTGGTATAATAACAACATTTAAAATGCATCTGGGTAGGTATAGGAATAGGAAGGGTTTAGAAGAAAGTGGGCCAAATGCTGGCAAATGGGGCTAGATTAATTAAAGATATCTGGTTAGCATGGAAGAGTTGAACTGAAGGGTCTGTTTCCATGCTGTACAACTCTATGACACTATTTCATTGCTACATAGCTTTGAATTCAAGATTTAGGAACTAAATTTAAACTCCAGCAGATACCATTGAATCATATGATCTCTACAATGGAGAAAGAGGCCAGTCAGCCCATTGAATCTGCACTGACCCTGTGAACAGCATTCCTCTCAGACCCAAATGTTTATATGATTGCCACTGCAAATTGCTTTGAACAAACATAGGTGGCAGTAGGAATAGTACATTTCTTGACCATTCCAGTTCCTCTCCTTCGGGTGGACACTGTTATTTTGCAGAAAATGCAAGTGACTTGCTCTGCTACTTCAGAAGCCATTATGAGGTAGGAGTCAAGTGTGGGGACAGCGTTAACATTTCAGACTCTGACTGTCAGGATACTCCCTATCTCTCCCTGAAACAGTTGGAATTTTAAACAAGCCTTTTAGTTTTGGGTGTGGGGGAGTGGAAATGGTACAATTTTTTGGCTGTAATTTGAGAACTCTTTAAACGTTAAACCATAAGTACTCTTCAGGGGACAAAAGTGTAAAACAAAATTCAAATCAGTGATGGTTCCCATGGCAACTAGCAACGGGCAAACGTCAATACATCGCAATAATGGTTTAAACATGATGAACTAGCCCCCAGTCTGTGCCACTTTTAACTGGAGGCCATTTCTTTTGGGCCTAACGGTGGGAATCTAACGGTTCATATTCAATTCAAATTTGAAAGCGTCTCGGCGCCACCTCTAGCACGTGGCAGAAACTTTCCTTAAGCGCCGACGTCACAATCGGCGGATCGCGCCCACGCATTGGTCCCGCCCCCGCCTGACCTAGTCCCGCCGGTCATTGGTCGAACCGTTGCTAAGGTGCGGTGATCTGTCACGGCCATTGGATGACGAGCACGTCAATCCGGCGGTCGGTTCCCACGACGTGCCCGGAGGCTATAAATAAGCCCTAGACGACCGCGGGGTGGCAGAAGAAGACACGAAGAGGTGGAGGTTAGAAACAGAGGGCTAGGGCGTGGTGGTGTGGCCGAGCTATTGCAGCCCAAGGAGGCCGTTTGAGACAGGTTTGATTGATGGCAAGCAGGGGGACAGCCATTGGTATTGACCTGGGCACCACCTACTCCTGTGTCGGGGTCTTCCAGCATGGCAAGGTGGAGATCATCGCCAATGACCAGGGCAACCGCACCACCCCCAGCTACGTGGCCTTCAATGACACCGAGAGGCTCATTGGAGATGCTGCCAAGAACCAGGTAGCTCTGAACCCACCCAACACCATCTTTGATGCCAAGAGACTCATTGGCAGGAAATACAATGACCCAGTTGTCCAGTCCGACATGAAGCACTGGCCCTTCCAGGTGGTGAATGATGCAGGGAAGCCAAAGGTCAAAGTCGAGTACAAGGGTGAAGATAAGACCTTTTACCCTGAGGAAATCTCTTCTATGGTGCTGACCAAGATGAAGGAGATTGCTGAGGCCTACCTAGGCTACACCGTCACTAATGCTGTTATCACAGTACCTGCTTACTTCAATGACTCCCAGCGCCAGGCAACCAAAGATGCTGGTGTGATCGCTGGTCTCAATGTCTTACGGATCATTAATGAGCCAACAGCAGCTGCCATTGCCTATGGCTTAGACAAGAAGGGCAGGGGAGAACGCAATGTTCTCATCTTTGACCTGGGGGGTGGCACCTTTGATGTGTCTATTCTCACCATTGATGATGGTATCTTTGAAGTGAAATCGACGGCAGGTGACACCCACTTGGGTGGAGAGGACTTTGATAACCGCATGGTCAATCACTTCATTGAGGAGTTCAAGCGTAAATACAGAAAGGAGATCAGTGACAACAAGAGGGCAGTGAGGAGGCTGAGGACAGCCTGTGAAAGAGCCAAGAGAACCCTGTCTTCCAGCACACAAGCAAGTGTTGAGATTGACTCTTTGTATGAAGGCATTGATTTCTACACCTCCATCACCAGGGCCCGGTTTGAAGAACTGAATATTGACCTGTTTAGAGGCACTCTGGAACCTGTGGAGAAAGCTCTCAGAGATGCCAAATTGGATAAAGCTCAAGTTAATGATATAGTCCTGGTTGGAGGCTCCACCCGCATCCCCAAGATCCAGAAATTGCTGCAAGATTTCTTCAACGGCAGAGATTTAAATAAGAGCATCAATCCTGATGAGGCCGTGGCCTATGGGGCAGCTGTTCAAGCAGCTATTCTGATGGGGGACAAGTCTGAGAATGTCCAAGATCTACTACTACTGGATGTTACTCCGCTATCATTGGGTCTGGAGACAGCAGGAGGTGTCATGACCACACTCATCAAGCGTAACACCACCATTCCCACCAAGCAGACACAGATCTTCACCACATATTCTGACAGTCAACCCGGTGTTTTGATCCAAGTGTATGAAGGAGAGAGAGCAATGACTAAGGACAACAACCTCTTGGGCAAATTCGACCTCAGTGGGATCCCTCCTGCGCCACGTGGTGTACCACAGATTGAGGTCACCTTTGATATTGATGCAAATGGCATATTGAATGTATCGGCTGTGGACAAGAGCACCGGCAAAGAGAGCAAAATCACCATCACTAATGACAAGGGCAGATTGAGTAAGGAGGAGATTGACAGGATGGTGCAGGAAGCAGAAAGATACAAAGGGCAGGATGATATGCAGCGTGAGAAAATTGCAGCCAAGAATTCCCTAGAGTCATATGCATTCAACATGAAGAGTTCAGTGGAGGAAGAGAAAACGAAAGGCAAGATCAGTGAGGAAGACAAGAACAAAGTCATTGAAAAGTGTAACCAGGCCATATCCTGGCTGGAGGCAAACCAAGCAGCAGAGAAGGAGGACTTTGAGCAGCAATTGAAAGATTTAGAAAAAGTATGCAAGCCCATCATTGCCAAACTCTACCAGGGAGGTATGCCTGAAGGGCCATTCTCAGAACAAGTCAAAAAGGACCCTTCTGGTGGACCAACAATTGAAGAAGTTGATTGAAACTTTAACTGTCTTGAATGTAATATCATTTTCAGTTGGTCTCTCTTCTCCCCCAACCTCCCTGAAATTGCAGCTGTCCTTTAGAATGTCTGGGTGCTTCTGTAAATCCAGTTGATTTGGACAATGTTTGCGTGGTTCGATAAATGATTGCACACATTTCCAATGTTTAGGTGTTTGAATGGTGGCAATTAAACGTGTCAATGGTGATTTTTTCTGCAAACTGTTTCCTGTATGTTTTGTACATTGAGTACTTTATGTTCCTTTAGCTGGTAATGGAGGCAAAGAGCATTCTTAGTGCTTTCTTAGTTTTCTGCACAACTACAAGAATGCACCATATGATTCAGAGATTCAGTCACTTGTCACTAATCCTGAGATGTTAATGTTAGGACAGGTTATACTTGCAGTTAAGCTAGCCAGCTATCTTTTTTGTCATGTAGAACACACGAAGAATTAACCTGAGATGTAGTAGGAATAGTGTTCCCTTACAATAAACAATATAGATTCCACTTTCATATGGGCCATGAAAAGGTGACATTACAAATATTGGCAGCCTTTGCAGACTTAATTTGCATGCAACTACTGGGGAAAATAATCACATCTAAGTATCTTTGTTGGAAAATGCATAATATCCGAGCAGTAGCTATAAATAATAGTTTCTCTCCATGTATGACCAATTTTCAGATGATGTCTTCTGTACTCCACAAAAAAGCTTGTTTAACAATTTGAATTATTTCTCACTCTTAACATGAATGCTAAATTCTATCATATAATATCACTGTAACCTTAGGGTTTATTTTTACTTTGTGATCATGTATTAAACCTGCCTCATTATACGTTACCATACCCAAAATAACTTGATTCTAGTTGGATGTAGAACATATGATTCTAGAAAACTATCCTTGTGGCTTCCTCTGGCAACTTGATTTTCTCAAACTACATGAAATTTAAAGTCACCCGTGATAAACATACTGTCTTTTTTACAGGCTCTTATTTTCTCCCTGATCTATTCTCTGTGCTAAAGAACAGCTTCTGCTAGTGGGTTTGTAGACTACTCCCAGTAGCATCATTTTCCCATTGTTATTTCTTCAGCCTCCACTTATATGGATTCTACAACATGGGTTTCCAAGATCATTTCTTGCTATTTGTACTTATTCCATCTAAACCAATAACAAAGCTATCCCATGGGTCTTCCTGCATGTCTTTTTGAATAATCACATACCCCACTATATAGTTCTCAGCTTTATAAGAACATTTCCATAATGTCTATGAGATCATACTCATTCATCTCTATTTGTGCCATTAATTCATTAATTTTGTTCTCAATACTTAGCAGTATACCTAAAAACAAATGGTGGCTCAGTGGTTAGCACTGCTGCTTCGCAGCCCTAGGGACATGGATTCGATTCCACCCTTGGGCAACTGTCTGTGTGGAGTTTGCACATTCTCCCCATGTCTGTGTGGGTTTCCTCCCACAGTCCAAAGATGTGCAGAATAGGTGGATTGGCCATGCTAAATTGCCCGTAGTGTTCAGGGATGGGTAGCTTAGGTGGGTTATAGGGGGATGGATCTTGATGGGATGCTCCAAGGGTCAGTGTGGACTTGTTGGGCTGAAGGGCCTGTTTTCACACTGTAGGGATTCTATGATTCAAACTCTGTTTGCACACTATAAAATCTTCACTGACTGTTTTATTTTCAGTTTTTTGTAACAGTGCTCCATTGCAATTACTTAAAAAGTTAGTTAAAGCAGAAAGTTTTTTTTAAAAAATTCACCTGTGGGACCTGGGTGTCGCTGGCTGGGCCAACATTTAGTGCCTGCCCTTGACTTAGTGGTGGTGATCTAACTTCTTGAACCACTGCAGTCCACATGCCATAGGCAGACTCTCAATGCCGTTTGGGACAGACTTCCAGGATTTTGACCGAGCAACACTGAAGGAGTGGCAATATATTTCCAAGTCAGGATAGTGAATAGTTCAGAAGTAACTTACAGATGTTGGTGTTCCCATGTATCTACTGCCCTTGTCCTTCTAGATGGTAGCAGTTGTGGGGTTGGCAGGTGCTTTCTAAGGATTTTTGGTGCATTGCTGCAGTGCATCTTGTGATTTTTTTTGTGGCTCTGAGTGCAGGAATTGGGGCATCATGTTATATGAAACATTGATAAGGCCATATTTGGAGTACTGCATATAGTCCTAGTAGTCTTGCAGTGAGAAAGATGTTATTAAATTGGGAAGGGTGCAAAAAAGTTTTGCAAGAATGTTACTGATACTGGAAGATTTGAGTTATAAGGACATGCTGGGACTTTTCTCCCTGGAGCATAGGAGGCTGAGGGACGACCTTATAGAGGTTTATAAAATTGTGAGAGGGCATAGATAAGGTGAATAGCCAAGGTCTTTCCCCCGAGGTAGGGGAGTCCAAAACTAGAGGGCATAGGTTTAAGGTGAGGGAAAATATTTAAAAGAGACCTGAGGGACAAATATTTCACACAGACTTGGTTTGTATGTGGAATGAAATGCCAGACGAAGTGCTAGAGGCAGGTACAATTACAACATTTCAAAGAAATTTGGATAGGTACATAGATAGGAAAGGTTTAGAGGGATATGGGCCAAACTCAGACAAATGGGACTAGTTCAGTTTAGGAAACCTGGTTGGCATGGGTGAATTGGACCGAAGGGTCCATTTCTGTGCTGTATGACTCTATGACTGAATGTGCTGCAAATCAAGTGGGCTACTTTGTGCAGGATGGTGTCACGCTTCCCGAGTGTTGTTGCTGTGTAAATGGGTCCTGGTCACGCTGCAAAGCAGGCTGCACCCGCTAGGAGATTATCTTGTTTTCAGGAAACCTGGACCATTGCAATGCCAATGCCAGTAGTAATAAAATCAAAAAGTGCAGGTGATACCCATCAACGGGTATAGTGGAATTTTGTTGGAATGTTAATAGGCACTTAAAGTTGTTGATTTGTTGATTACATTCTTGATTTAGAAGAACACTGTCAGGATTTTAATCTCTTTGTATTACACTCTTTGTTGCCTTGTTTGAATCTTCGTTGATGAATGCTGTTAAATATTTGTTGTAAAGTTAATGTTGTAGCATTAAAACTGAAAACTTAAAAGCTTTGTTGCTTTAAAAGCATTTTTTCCAATGTAATGTTTTTCTTCACTGCGCTATCATTGTAAGGTTGTTTCAGGATCCTATAGCTCGTACACAACAATTAATGATGAAACTGAATATAGTTGGTTTTGGAAAGCTACGCTGTAGAACTCCTGCAGAGATGTCCTGATGTTAAGATAACTGATCTCTGACAAACACAATTATCTTCCATTGAGATAGGTCAGGTTAAGTGGAGAATTTACTCACTGCTTCCCAATGTCTTTAATTTTGCAAGGGCTTGTTGATGCAGTACACAATTTAATGCTTCCTTGAAGTGAAGGGTAGTCACTCTCATCTCATCTCGGAGGGGAACTCTTTTGTTCATGTTTGGACTAAGGCTGCAGTGAGTTCGGCAGCCAAGTGGTCTTGGCCAACAGATGCGCATTAGTGAGTAGGTTATGTACTGAATAAGTGCTACTTTATCATAGAATAGAATCCCTGCAATGTGGAAGCAGGCCATTGGTCCAACAAGTCCACACTGACCCTCCGAAGTGTATCCCCTATCCTATCCCTGCATTTCCCATGGCTAACCCACCTAGCCTGCATATGCCTCAACACTTTGGGCAATCCACCTAACCTGCATGTCATTGGACTGTGGGAGGAAATCCACGCAGACACGGTAAGAATGTGCAAACTTGACACAGACAGTCGCCCAAGGCTGGAATTGAACCTGGATCCCTGGTGCTGGGAGGCTAACCACTGAGCCACATGCTGCCCTTGATAGCACTGTCAATGACAATTTCCATCATTTTACTCATGATTGATAGTAAATTGATGGGGTGCTAATTGATGGAATTTAATTTTTCTAGATTTTGTCAATAAGAAACAACAGGGTGACTTTTCACATTGTTAGATAAATGGTAGCATTGTAGCTGTACTGGAACCGCTTGAGCAGAGGTACAGCTACTTTTGGAGCACAAGCCTTCACTATGACAGCTGGAATGCTTTCAAAGCCCATGCATTAGGAACTGCATCTAAGTTATAACCACAGAAAAAAATTATACACATCACCTGTGGTCCTTTTGCCAATCACTTTAAAATCAATGTCCTCTGATACTACTCACTTCTGTAAATGGAAACGGTTCTCTCCACTTGCTTCTTCTGGATTCCTCATGATTTTGAACACTTCTTTCAATCTCCTCTCAAACTCCTGTCACCTCAGGGGAACAAAAACAACTTCTCCAATCTTGTCAAATAACCGAAGTCCCTCATCCCTGGAACTAATCTTTTCTGCAGTGTCATTAATGCTTTCCCAATTTCGTAAAATGCCAAGCCAGGAATTATACATCGTATTTCAGTTGAAACCAAAACCGTTTCCTTGCTTTTGTACTCCCTGCCTCTATTTATTAAGCCCACAATCCTATTTGTTTTCTAACCACACTCTCAACCTGCAATGCTACCTTCAATGATTTATGTGCATATACTCCCAGGTCTTTCTTCGTTCACCCCATTAGAATTGTATCCTTTAGTTTGCATTATCTCTCCTCACTCTTCCGATCAAAATGCATCACTCTATGATTCTCTATTTTTGCTGTCACTTAGTTGTTCATTTCTTCAGCTTCTCTATGCACTCTTGAAGTCTGTCACTAAACTTCTCACTGTTTGCTTGCTCTGTGTCATCTGCTAATTTCAACATTGTATCCTTTACACCAAAGACTAGTCAGTGATATATATTAGGATGAAGAAGTCAAAATCATTGGGTAATGCCATTGTTCAACTTCCTGCAGTCTGGAAAAAAAACAGTTCACCAAATTGCTGTGTTACCTGTCAACTTAACCAGTTTCCTATCCATGCTGCCATTGTCCCTTTTAGTTTATGGGTTGCAACTTTGCATGTAACCTTGCTATTTGTCCCTTTGTCAAATGCTGTCTGGAAGTCTATGAACACCACATCCACAGCAATACCCTCATCAACCACTTTCTTACCTTATTTAAAAAGAAACAGATTAATTGACATTTCACCATTAACAAAATCCTGCTGACTTTCCCTAATTTATCCAAGTTAATTTTGTCCCATATTCAAAGTAAGTGTATCTGTGGAATTCTTTACTGTAGAAAGTGGTCAAGGCTGTGTCATTAAATGTATTCAAAGAACAATACAGCACAAGAACAGGCCCTTTGGCCCTCC